AAACCGCAAGCTAGATAGCCATATTCTAATGATACCGTAGTTGAGATAACCTCAGGAGAGCTTCAATTCCCATTCATTCTGCGCTACTTATCATTTTATCTTTGTTTATGCCAAAATTCATCATAGTTTATTTTCGGTCTCACCGTTTAATAACACAGTTTGCTCAATGGTAATCTTCGATTCTTGTTTCTCTAAAAACTTTGCAGGTCTCCCTGAAGCTATAATCCTCGGTCATCTGCATTCAATCATCACTCTCTGTACCTGCTTACTTTTCTTGTCAGCATCTTCCTAATATCAGCACCAATTCTTCATAAGAACTGCTTTTCATTTAACATCGTTAGAAGAACTTTTCCCATAATTTATTTTTTCCCATGACTTGTTAAACTACAACACTCTTCATTATGTTTTAAAATCTTGTTCTGTTCGTAGAGATATCGTAAAGATCAAAAAGAAAAAAAAAAACAGGAAGGGACTTATTTTGCCTGGACATGGATATTTCATTGAGATACCGCATAAAAAGGATATTCTTCTCGTTGAAACGGTTGTTCACACGGGTTATTTTTCCTGTTTTGGAGGTGTCCGTTGCAATCGTATAGCGAGGTGTCCTAATCCTGCGTCTCTCTGGTTGATTTTTTTATAAGATCATTTTAAGGGGTAGAATGGAATTCGGAAGTGCACTGCCAGTGAAGTTTTCTTTTAGACTGAATTCACATGTGCAGTTGTCTTCAAATGTCCCAGAATCTGAAAGCATTAGACTCCCTCATTCTTTTGTATTATTTTCATTTTTAACTTTTTTCTGCTTATAATGTTTAAATGCTATGGTGAACTCATTGATAGAGTTATCTTTTATCTTCCTATTTTAACAAAATACCACTAGTAATGACTTTATGTTTGGACGTTGGTTGAATGCAAGCATTTCCAGTTGCCATTTTCAAAATTCAGATGTCTAAGATTTTGAAAAGTCCAAATATGGTTTTATTTTTAAATAATACTAGTACTTATTAGTGAAATAGCTTGGGATAATTCGGTAAGACTGGAAAATTTATAATAATAATGATAATAATGATAATAATAATAATAAATAATAATAATAATAATAATAATAATAATAATAATAATAATAATAATAATAATCATAATAATAATAATAATAATAATAATAATAATAATAATAATAATAATAATAATAATAATAATAATAATAATAATAATAATAATAATAATCAATAGCAATAGTTAACAATAATAATAATTAATAACAATAATTAATAATAATAACAATAATAATTAATAACAATAATTGATAATAGTAATGGTAATAGTAATAATAGTAATAACAATAATAAAAAGTGATTGTATATTAATAATACTTGCTAGCCTTCACGAACAAAAGATTTGCGAGGCTTTACCCGTGCTTGCTGCAAGCACTATAAATGTGAATGTATCCTTCCACCGGCGAAGTGGATTCTTTAGTTTAGGTACAGCCAGCTACGTGGAACTGACCACCCTTTATTCCTCATATTCGTTTGCAGGGCCTAGCGTGCTAGGACGTGACAGCGAAGGATATAAGTTTGTTAAACATAGGCTTTTTCCGGAGTTGGAGTTGTCCTCCTAGGATGATTCCTGGAAGACTAGTGAGTCCATCCTGCTCGTGGACATACTTTGTGACCCTTTAATTGAGACTTGTCTGACATGGGAGGAAGGCATATATCACCTCAAGCATTCCCAATTCCGTTAGAGCACGCATGCCTTTTTCCCGCCAGTAGTGGCCCACAGTTGGGTTCGTTGTCTTTCTGCTATTGAAGGTTAGCTTTTTTCTGGAATATATGCCAGGAATATAATGGAAATTAGCTCAATTCTTAATTAATGGTCATATGGCTGTGTGGAAATTAAGACGGACTTTCTTTCATCAACTTGAGTTGAAGACTTTTAAATATTCGCAATCCATTTCATTTTTAAATCCATCTCATTTGAGTTTTTTCTATTATCACTTTAGTCTGATCATTTGGACCCGTATATAAAGGGAATTTTCTTAGAAACGTGGCTTGAAGGATGTTATATTTATCACTTTGGGGCCTGTTAGTAACTACATGTTATTTGCACTACTTTTGCAGAAATAATTGTATTTAGGTTTCATTTACATACAAATGTAGTCTTCCCTTCCTTGTTTTACCTTAAAATTCAAATTTATAGGATTAGATATCACTTTTTATAAAATTATATTGCCAATTTGTTATATATCTGAACTTTCGTCCAGAGTAATACTGCTTAGAGAAGTAATGTTGCAATATTTGATTTTATGTTGGAACTAACAGTTATAAGGACTAACAAAACCGGTGGCTATTAATGAGGCGTTGCTGTGTAACGGCGAAAGAATAGGGCATTTGTGGAGGAAGAGGCGATGAATTACGCCTATCGTCTTTTGGATAATGTTAAATACTTCTACAAAACACTCAATCCAGCATCACTTTCTGGTATGCTTCACTGTTCAGATTCTTGTATTCTTGTGAAACGACGATAACTTCGATGTAGATTGAAGATAGCTGTTCTTTATTAGTGTATTTAGTAGTTATTTTGAAATAACGATTCGCTACAAACAAATGACGAAATAGACGCTTGTATAATATAATAATTATATGTTTGTTATTCTGGGAAAGTCGTGAAACTTAAGTTTTAACACTTCATAGCTTCTTACCTTTGCAGTTGTGAATTTACTTGTTCCTGAAAACTGTATACTTGTTTGCTTCGCTTATTCTTATAAAGCGTGGTTTTTATCAGCTTTTCAAGGAAACTTTTTTTTGAGAGGATTTGCGATTTGTTTTAACTTTTTTTCGTATATTTCAAGGGGCAATTGATTTGATTGTTGTGGAGCAGCCGGATGGGTCATATTTGTCAACACCGTTTCATGTAAGATTCGGAAAATACGGCGTTTTAAACAGTGACGAAAAAGTTAGTCATTTTTTAATATTCATGAATATTTATTTACATTTATGCTTGTGAATCTTTATTCACACCCAACCATTATTTTCTATTTTATATCCTACTTGTAGTTGCTCACGAGAGGTCAAACATTGGGGAAGATTCGCTAATGCTGCCATTCAGTTGGATGTATTTCAGTATGTGGATATAACAGTAAATGGTGAAGAAATAGATTTAAAAATGAAGTTGGGCGAAAATGGTGTCGCATTCTTTACTGAGCCAACTACAGATGCAGATGTTCCTGAATATCTGGTAACAAGCCCAGTCCCAGGAAGTAGTTCTACTCCAGTTGATGGGAAGGTATCACAACAACGTGACAATGTTGTATTTGGCAGAATTGATCGATTCTACGAATAATTTTGTGCCTTTAAAAATAGATTTACTCATGAGGAATGAGATTTTATTTTAAGGATCTTGCCAACAGGATAGAAAAAATCCGACGAGAGCTGTCGCGTTCAAGATATAAAAGAGCATTGTCGGAATGTTCCAGTTCTCGTTCACATTCTTCGCATTCACGGTTTTATTTTTCACATTTTTTATTCATTTTCATGTTTCAAGTAGGAAGTTTTCGTAAGCTAAAACAGGAATTTGTGGACAACGACTTTTTCATACCTTTGTTATTTACAGTGAACATTCCTGCGAATTAGACATTCATCTCAGAAAAACGCTTCCATTCAATGCATCACTATTCAGTCAACGTAGGAATCGATCGTTACCGAATCTTACTGATCTTACTGACGATCAGCTACAGAAAAATAGTAAAAGAATTACTAAAAATAAGAGGTAATATTAACATTTAACCAATTTTTGGTTAAATGTTTATTTTTTTTTTTAACAGCTTGGTTAAATTATTTCCGTTTAAGAGTACGAAGAGCACTTGGAGGGTTGCAACTACGAAATAGGGTGAGAGTGCACGGGTTTATCATCGTAGTTATGTCAGCAATTTTGTTGGTCTATTCAGTTTAATAATTTTATTGGTTGTTGGTAAAAGACGCCATTACTTATTTTGTAAAGGAATTTTTTTATAAGGAATGAACTAAGATTCAAGAATATAAGAAATACAAACTAATAGAAAAAAAAAATTTCTTTACACAATAACGATTATTTGTACCTTTGGCGGTTTTTAGTTTTTGTCTCTGCTACTCTGCCTACGCAGAATCTGTTGAAATTCTCTTCCATGAAGTTTAACAAGAATCCAGTAATTGTCAAATGAATTTTTTCTGTGGTATGTTAATAATGAGGTACAGAGCAGCCTGTTTTGCAAACTAGATTTGAAAGTCATGATTTATAGGCAGTTGATGGACTCTCATTCGTTCGCTGCAGGACGCAGTTTATCACCTCCAACTTGCACCTTTCGTAGGAATCATGCAAAGGCCTCTACCGAAATAATGCGTAAATTATCAAACTCAACAAATGAGGTGCTTTAGTTTAATATCTGAAATTATGTAACACTCAGTATTTTCGGCTGTCGATTCTTTTGAATATACACAGACAAGTGATGCAGTACAGAACGACTAAACAGCAATAGAAGTTTTAGGAAAGTGATGTAGACGATGCAGCATCAATAGTTTCCATTGATAGTGGAACGGATCGTCTGAAAGTTCCTGGCTTGGGTATGATTTCTGATGGTGCGTTTTCGGATTCCGAACTTGACCGGCATCGAGACACTCTTGAACCAGTTAGCTTTGCTTTCTGCATCTTCATTTTTTTTGAAAGCTTCCAGAAACTTCCATGAATTTTATGAAACTTGTTATATTGCTTTATTTCTCGAATACAACTTCACTGCCAATTTTAGCACAAAAATGAAGTTATGGTATGGAAATGGGGTGAATTGCCAAGAACACTTGAAGAAACGGAAAAAGCAAAAAAAAAGCAAGGAGATATGAAAACTGAGCAGGAAAAGAAAGGATCAACATGGGGTGGATGGTTTTGCTGGTCACGTGCCAAACCAACAGAAGATCAGGGTGTTTATTTGGATGATCTTGTGCAAAGTGCCAGTGATCCCAGTAAAATCGAAAAATATCTGGGGATGTCACCACCTACTGCGTGGTGAGTGGTATTAGTGAAATGGCGTCTTCGCTCTTTAAATAGTCAAAAACTTGCTTTCGTTATCAATTTAAGCTGTCTTCCAATCTTGATCATACGATGAAGTTTAAAATCAGATATGGTTGGGAACTAGATTCATTTCAGTAATAGTAAAATGAGATTTTTTTTCATCTACGCCTTTTAAGACGTAAACAACGGTTGTGAAAAGCACAAATTTTGCTGTTACAAATTTTTGCAAAATTTTCCGTTTTTGTTTTTGTTGCAGTCCTTCACCACCCAGTGATAGTGGGAATGGTTCCATTACGGGATTAAATTCTCCCCCTAAGGATAGTGATAATGAAGACGAAGCGAACAGTGAGGTACAGCAGCAAGGGCGAACTTCGACACCAACATCTGACAGCAAGGTTTATTTTTTAGTGGCATTCACACAATGCATTTAGAACTTTGTTAAATTATTACAGTTTGCGCTAATTTTAAAGTATTTTAAAGCAACTAATTGTTATTTCTTCTGGATTGTTACTATCATTACTAGCTAGATAGATAGAATATTCAAAATAAAATATAAAACAGAATATAGATGGAATATTCAAAGGAATTGCAGAAGCATGCGATTAATATAAATTTATCGGGTAATCAGCTTTCTCTTCGGTCTTCCGATACGCATGAACCAACCGAAGCACACGGTTGTGAAACAAAAAGAAATCTTGCTCGAAGCATAACTCCATCCAGCGATATCTTGTTCGTATCAAATTTGATTCTGTTATTACACTTCTCCTGATATTTGCCAAGAATTAAGCACGTGTGCTTTTATAGTCCTATGAGTGATGAAGAAGCAGAAAGTGCAGTACCAGCGCTTTCCGGTGCAGAAACTACCATAGAATTCCCAAAATACATTCGTTCTTTACGACTTTCTAGTGACAAGTTGAAAAAGTTGGGATTACGCAAAGGAGCCAACGAAGCAAGATTTTCAATTACTACAAAGTTTCAGGTTTGCAACACTTCTAAATTCGACTTTTTTAGCCTCACATTGTCATTTTGTGAACCGATTTGTAAATTCTAAAGAATAAAACGAGGTTTTGCAGTCAATCCTTCTTATTCCAGTTTGTTATGTTGTACATTTTAGGGTACTACATGGTGTAGCTGTCATATCTATCTATATAAATGGACTGAACGTTTAGTTATCTCTGACATTGATGGAACCATAACGAAAAGTGATGTATTAGGACATGTTATACCAGCTATTGGTGGTCAGTGGGCTCATGCTGGAGTCGCAGAATTGTATACTAGGATCAAGGAAAATGGGTAAAATTTCTTTCATTATTAGATCATGAACGCAAAAAGTCAAAGCTTGAAGAAAATTAAAAAAAACATTTCAGCATTTTGAAGAATAATCTTATTGGGCATTTCATAGCAACAAATTTATAACGTAAGTTTTCAGCTATCAATTGGTTTATTTATCTTCTCGTGCAATAGGTCAAAGCTACTCTACGAAGAAGTACTTGCAAAGTGTTGCTCAGAACGCAAAATTTCTACCTGATGGACCATTGTTGTTATCACCTACATCCGTGCTTATGGCTTTCAGAAGGTACCACATTTTATTTACGGGTACATTCCAGTATTTAACTTTGACGAATAAATCGGTGTGCACCCTTTAGTTTGCTCTTAAGGTTTCTGCTCTGCATGTCTACGAATGCCAACATACTTGAACATATACTGCTGTTTGTGCAGTATAATTATATAGCAGCATAACATAGGGCGGATTTTCACTGAATAAAAACTTATTTTAATACTCATGTATTCTCTTTCTCATCTTTACTTTGTAACGTTGGTTGTTTTTTCAGAGAAGTGATAGATCGCAAACCAGAAGAATTTAAAATAGCTGCTTTGACAGATTTGAAGGAATGCTTTCCGGTGAAACGTCCATTCTATGCTGGTTTTGGAAATCGCGAAACAGTAAGGTTCCAAGTGTTGTTCAATTTGATGGGATAGATCAAGGTTCAAGATGCAAAACTGTATTACTGAGCACAGTATAAAGTCCAGGAAGTCTAACTTTTTGGTAATTGTAGATTGTTATATAGCTGGTAATTGTAGATTGGTTGATTATTGTTTTTTGAATACGCTAATTTTATTTAATTGATTCACTGTTTGTTTGAGATATAGTTTACAATTTTCTCCTTTTCATCTTCCACTCCCTATCGTTGTAATTCAGCTTACTTTTGTTCCTTCCGCTTAAATCATATACGGCTGCATTCCAAAATCATTACTGCTTAAGGTAATGCAAATGTCAAATATATAGTAAGGTACGAGATATCATTTACAACTTTGTACTGAGAAGTTTTGATTTATGTATCATGAAATGCTGGAAAATATTTTGTATTGTTGTATTAAGTCTTTCTCAGGATGTAGTAAGTTATCGAGCAGTGGATATACCTCCGGATAGAATACTGATTATTGATAAACAGGGTCGTGTTAGGCGTGCTGACTCTATTGGTTTCGAAACATCATTTATGTCATTGGCAATGGACATAGTTGATTACATGTTCCCTCCACTTATCCGTCGGCGAAACGAGCGTCAAAGGTTGAGCGAGCCAAAGAAAAATTCGTTTCTTTTGGCACCGTCATTTTACAAAGCTCACAGTTACAGGTTTATTTCTTTTCATTTCGTAATTTCTGAAAAAAACTCCAGATAAACAACTATTTTCATTTCTTGTACATTTATCATTTGTCATAATCTCATTTTTTTATAGTGATTTCACTCATTGGCAGTCAAAAGCGGGGTGTGCCGTTCGTTTGGATGATAATACATTAGAAAGTTACGAGGCGAAGAGGAAAAGTTTTCATGGAAAATACAAGAAGAAATGAGCTTTAGGTGGGATTACTTTCAGACATGTGCCAAATTCTGCAGACTGTTTCTTTTACTGCTTTATGCAGAGTCAGAATACTACTTGTCATCTCAACTTTTTCAGAGAAATTTTCAGTGTAGTTGAAAAAACTTCTGATCCGAATGTTTCTTATCGTTCATTAAAGTTTCGCTACACTGTAAATGATTCATTATGGATGCTTCTAACTTTCAAATGGTGATTTGATAAGAATGGTTTAAGCGAGTGCTTAATTTGTTTGAATAATTTGTATGCTATTACTTTTTTCTTAAGCTTGGCATAAAACATTCAACCCTATAATTTACGTTTGCATGGGCTTGCGGCCAGCACTACACATGGAGGAATTCATATCAGGATGCATTAATGCTATTGCTCGCAGTTGCTGATTTTGTTAACGATCTCTAAACTGGTTCTCTTTACAAATCATCTTTCAGCTATATATCCATTCGAACAACATCTCTATAGTCAATAAAATTGATGAGATTTTTTCAGTATTCCTGAAATTTTTTAAAGCATAAGATTTGATTTCCTATGTTACCGTCTTCTATTATATCATCATTTGTGTCTTCTGGATTTACCCAAGTTAACCTGGCATTCATTATTTCTTTCAATCAGTGACTGCACTTTCGCGGTTAAAATTCTTTTGTATGTATTGGCTTGATCAAATTCCGTCATTTTACGTGATTGCTTTGTTCACTTAGTATTTGTATGGTGACACCGTTCTGTTCGCTTATTATCCGTGATAAAGAATCATGTTGAAATTTGGTTTAAAAAACCGGAGATGTGTACCCCGAATTTATAACATGTTGCTGCATTTTTTTTACGATAACCAGAAAATGGCGGCAGAATCGCTGAATTTACGTTCTGGTCGTTTTGTAACGGAACTGTGATAATGCTGACTACTGAAAGGTATGAAATGATGTAGCTGGAATATTAAGATCTTTTCTAGGTCCCAGTACTGTCAGCATCTAGGGCTTGGGATAGGTTATTATTAAAAAGCCAAGATTATGAAATTGGTGGTATGGGTGCGGTTCTCGTACTTCTTTCTAAGCAAGTGTTGGTGCAAACTTTATTGCGGGGAATTTTAGTTTGTGATAATGAATTATAACATAACGGGAGGTGCGTTGTTAATTCGCCAAGAAACAAACAGATGCTCGAGTTTATTGGCAAGATGAAAAAATACCCGCTTTACAGTCTGAAATGTCATATATGTAATAACACTGGTCGATATGACAGCAAGTAATATATAGGGTAAAAACAGGAGTAAGACAGTGAGCTTTGGTCGATAAATCAAGCTCCCGTTTGTTGAGTCGTGTGTTGTTAATGTTGTGCTGAATAGAACCATCTTATGAAGCTAAATTCGTTCGAAAAAGCAATTTCTTAAAGTGATTTGAAATAGGCAATATGGCGATTATTTGAGATTGGCCTTAGCTGCTAGATATGCTGGTGTTAATTCGTATAAATTAGGCGTGGACTTGGTCATCAGATTCCGAGATAAAAAAAACGCAGGTTTTCTCTGGTAACTGTTCTAATATGGTGGCCGAAATTTGGACTTGAATCAGTTTCTAGTTCAGCAAAAAATTCTCTTCCGCTTACTGTAAAGTTTACTGTAAAATAAACAAAACAATTACCGTAACCAAGTTTGCTTCCGATCAATATATAGTAACAGTGAGAACAACAATCAACAACATGTGCTATAAAAGTACTAGACAACTACAGATAACCATCACTGTTGACAAATTTAATGTCATGTGCATTTTAGATGAATAGTCTTCAAGATAATGATGCTTCAGAACCCAGTCGTATGGTGGTGGTTCCACTTCTGAATATCTTGGTGGCAAATCGATTACATATACTTCAGTGTTCTTTCTTGTTTCTACAAATTGTGATCACGGAAGTTTTCTTACGACGAGTTCGAAACTAACATTGAAATCAGATTTCTGTAAATACTTTTGCAACTACTTAAGTACTAGAGTTCTGTTACATATTAAAATCTGTAAGTTTTTCGAACTTTTCAGTTGATGAGCTCAAACCAACATAAACTTTGATAAGATGGGTTATAAGTGGAATTATATATATATATGTCTGCTTTTTATCGCTAATTATAGCTCAGGAAATTGAAATACTTTTCCCATACTTTCTGGAAACTAAGTCTAACTGTCCATGCTGAATGTTTTAATTGCTTACCTTACTTTAATTATTATAGACATAATTATTAGTACTGTGTTGGTGAGGAAATACAGTAGAAAGAGTTTTTAAATCACTCAAAATTTCGGGATTCGACGGAATATAAAAAAGTATATCCTGTAATTCTCTTCTAGCATTAGAGAACGAGCATTAAGTTATGTAGATATATGAGGGATGTCGACTAATGCCATTCTGCGTCAATTATCTGTTAAAGATGCCCGTGATTAATGATCACGTTTCCCTGCGTTGTCTGCTGTGGTCTTATTGCCAGTGTCTGGTGTTTTAAAGTGATCAATATTAAACATATCCGGTAATTTTCAATACAGAATGCAGTATGATATCAGATACAAAAACTTTGAAACTTTCGCCCAAATGCAATTTTTACTATTTAAATGAAATAATTGTAATTGAGAAAATCCCGTCGCTCATTTATGCCATATATTTTACTAATCAAACTAAAATCTAACAATTGAAACATTCTTAAATAGTATTCTGTTGTCTCCATGAACAACATTTTCAAAATGTTAGCTCAGATGTTGGCTCCAGTTAAAAATTAATTCGCTTTCTTAAATTTTTGCAAGCTGATTTAGCATTAACGATTTGTCTACTTTCTAAGTTTTTTTACCATCATTTGTTGGTATCACGTTATTGATCGATGCCAATTTCATTTTTTAGTTAGTTGTATTAATTGCACAAATTAATTATATGCACTAATACACTAATAGTATTTAACATCTGCATGTTTTAGTAAATGGAATGATATGAAAAAATAAAAACTTACCAAGTCGAGCTTTGGAAACATTGATTGTAAAAAATAATACAAAGGAGCCGATGATGAAACCCATGAATGCGAACAATATGTAGACATCAGAATACATCCTGGATACGCCTGAATAACTCTTTTATAAATAAATGAAGATGAAACTTCACTTCTCGATCAAAAAACTGCAAAAATCTAAGGTCTAAAGAGCCACCAGAGCTTAAATTCACCTATGAATTCTCTTTCAAAATCGAGCAAAACAAACAAAACAAACTTTTATTTATAACAAATGAAACTTGTTACTTTCTGCTGGTAAGATTACTGATGGAGAAATATGATGAAATCAGAAAATTTACGGCAAAAAATTTTCTAATCTACAGTAAAAACTTAGTGTTGTTTTACAAGCTTAATGTATAAAGTGGAGAAGCGAAAAGACCTACGGTCACTCTCGATGCTTGGAATTCCAGTGATAAAAGTGGAGTTATCCGGAAGATACATGATATTACCGCGGATGCTGTTATTGATGTTATTACACAAATGAAAGTGTAACGTTTATGTGATAATAAAAGTAGAGACGATGAACAGTAATAATAACAGCAATAATAGTAGTAACAATAATGATAATAATAATAGTGACAATAATAATAATTAATATAATAATAATAATAATAATGATAATAATAATAATAATAATAATAATAATAATAATAATAATAATAATAATAATAATAATATAATAATAGTAATAGTAATAATAATAATGAGGGTATAAGTGATATATGCCTACAGGAATAACCACCAAGTAGTTGAACACTTATATCCCACTCTGTGCTCTGCAAAATAAATTTAAATTCTTGTCCAGTTCTTCATCACCAACTAATTTCCCAAAAAGAGGCCGTTATTCTATCCTAGCCAGAAAAATGGAAAATAAAGTGGAATAACATTCGGATAGTTATGGTAATTAGCATCACAACCCATAGCGAGTAAAGTTAAATGAACCAAAACAGATGAGCAATTCAA